AGTAAATGGCGTTAGTCTAAGCAAACAAATGGCCAGGTGAATGTTGTGGAATTGAAATGGATTAACACCCTTTTACTAGATTAACTTTAGCAAACACTTATAAAACAGACAAACGAAGGTATTTATGCAAAGAAGTTCATTGTACCATGATTCTATGCAAAATTTAGCAAACGTCTATCATATCTTTATATGTACCTATATAAATTATAGTTTAAAATTTTGACCAATCACAGAGATCTTCACCTATGCTGTTCCAAATCGAAAATCGATTGATAATTTTATTAGACAACTAATTGATTGTCAACGATTAATCGAGTTGTCAACTAATCAATTAATAATTTTATTAGACAACTAATCGATTATCACGATTAACTGATTAATCGATTAGTTAGTTAGACAAATACCCCGATCAAGATCACGGGGGTATTTTTATTACTAATCGACTAGTTGTTTTATATGGTATATATCATATTTTGATCTTGTAATAAGTGGCTACGCAACTAATTGATTAGTCAATTAATCGATTAATTGACTAATCGATTAATCGATTAGTTGGCTATAATCGATTTCTAATCGATTTTTAATAAAACAAATTACAGAATTTAAAACTAAAAAAAAAAGAATATATCAGTAAAAGTTGCATTATTACGTATAAAAGAAATTTCTTATTCAAGTATAAAATGTAGTTAATAATGCGAGTATTATAGCACGACCCTATTGGTCAGGAGTATTATACCATTTATGTTATAAATCACTATCTTTTTATTTCGTCATTCATGATTGTTATTTTTACACGATGCATACGTCATCCATACTTATATTGCACTATACGAATTAGAGATTTTACTAATTTTCCCCCAGGTTTCTGATTGGCTGGGATTATTTGCGCCAATTTACATATCACCTTCTGATTAAAATGTGATACCTTGGTTAGGGTTTAAGGTTAGAGTCAGTAGGCACATTATACTAAAATTTTGCAAGGAATTTTTTTTGTTAGTTCATAAAAGGTGATTTCTTAAACGAAATTTTGAGGTAAGTGTGACTTTTCAAAAAAGAGCGATTGTTGTTTTGTTCGTCACGTTACACCTGATCTTGCTTTTTGATTGGCTAAGATCCCGAAACCTGGGGGGAAATTAGTAAATGCCGAATTAGAGAGGTTTTAAAAAAAACATAAATAGTATAATTTATGATCAATGACCGCCGTACTACAGTATAATGAGATACATCACATTGGTACAGCGATAATTTTTTTGATTATTCAGAAAATGCCGCTTCGCGATTAAAGAAATTATCATACTATATATGAGTGTCGCCAAAAGAAAACCCGACATTCTAAAAATAGACATTATGAAATTCATAATGTCTATTTTTAGATTGTCGGGTTTTCTTTTGACGACACTCATATATATTATATAATATAAGTTGGATCAACACGTGTTCTATATTATTGCTGTATTGACACGTTGATTGCCAATAAAATTTGATGATCAGGTGTAACGTGATAATCAAATCAGTTTAAATTTGGCGCGTTTTTGATTTTTTTATTCTTCGCCTGGTTTACTGCTTCTTCGCAATCCACGCTATACTCCGTGATGTCCAGCCTTTTTGCATCTCCCCTGTTTTAAGGTCTACTGGTTTTCGGAAAAGGAATCGGTTATGTTTCTTAATCTATCAGCCAAAATATCTGGGCATAGAGGTTTTAGCTAGCGAACTGGGCCAAAAGCTTCGTTAAGAGGAACAACCCACTTCTGTACGGGAGGTGCAGAGGAGAATAGGGTTGGGGTATTTTATACTTTCTCAACCAATGAGATACACCTCTACGTGGTGGTTGGGACAAGTAGGAGAAATAAACTCCGAAACTAAGTATCTCAGACTTTTCTGTTTGTATATTTTTATGTTATTTATTAAAAAAATTTTTTATGTAATATATAATTATTGTATGTATTTAAACTTTTTATTAAAATGTAATAAACTTAATAAATTTAATAAATTGAATTTTATAAGTGAACTATAAAAGTATCTAAATTGTATATAAATGTGAAAATTTGAAAAAAAATCACCATAGTTCGATATGCACCTAACATTAGTATATAACAACTCGTCATAATAAAAAAGCCACGTAATCGTTAATAAACTGATAATTTAACAAAAAAAAAAAATAATTGCTTTAAATTTTAGACACTCGAGAATGTTTTATGAAGCCTTTCACCTTAGAACTTTAAAAACAGATTTTTGAGCATCTTCGTAACAAAAAAAAAACAAATGGAATTAATAGATCTTGGTTGACATCGTGAATTTTGCATTTCCTGGTTCTGTATCATTCAGTTATTACAGCCGTCAACTAGCAGTTTAATTATCAAAAAAATATTTAGAATTTCTAAATTCGATTTAGAAAATCGGGAAAACACGAATTTTTGAAAGAACAATTTTTGTTTGAAATCATAATTAAATAAAAAACTAATTGCTTTAATACATTGACTTTAGCTTATACAATTACATATATCTTAATGTTACATATCATAGAATATTTTTTGAAATCCTAAATTCCTGAATAAATATCATAGAGGAAAAAAATATATACTAATCCATAAAGTGTTTTTTTTACGTTGCATAAAAAAAGATAATCCAAATTACTCGATTCGAGTAACAGGATCGAATGTACAGTACATAAAAACAAACGACTAACGAAAAATAAGTTAGTCTTTTTTTGTCGTTTTGGCGCTCATAGAAATAAAAAATAAAAAGAATTTGTAAAAAAAAAAAAAAACAGAGTAAAATAAACTTTCAGTATAAAAGGAAGAACAAGTTAAAGAAAAAAAAAAAACAAAATAAAAATAAAATAGAATAAATATGTAAATAAATAAATACAAATTTACAAAAATCCCATACGCCTCAAATGTCCATGAATTTACAACATATTTGTTATCTTATGGAAGAATTTACTCATTCGATTCGTTGGTACCAAGCCACTGTTCTAGCATTTCCTTAAGCTTTGCAATTTTCAATGGCTTAGTAAGATAATCATTCATACCCGATTCTAAGCATTGTTCTTTCGTACCCTGAACAGCCGAAGCAGTCAAAGCGATAATTGGAACATTAGATATCGGTGTATTCATGGCTCTTATTGCTCTGGATGCATCAAATCCTGACATTATTGGCTATTTGTTAAAATAAGTGGAAATTATTATCGTTAGTTATCAATATAATTAAGAATTATTTTTGATAAAACAAAATTTATCATAAATTTTTTTTGTTAAATGGTGACTCACCATAGCACAATCCATCAAAATTAAAGAAATTCTTCCAGGGTTAGAATCTTCAGAAGTCGAAGTATAATTTGAATACTCAGATTCTATTAAATTTACAGCTTCTTGACCATTTGTGGCACACAATGATGGATATCCAAGTTTTGAAAGTTGATGTTGAATAACTTTCAAGTTTATGGGATTATCTTCCTGTAATATATCCAAAAGAAATGGTGATTAAAAGAGGAAAAAATAATAAATTCTATTATTATTTAGAATTCGAAAACTTACCACACATAAAATACATTTCGATTTGGAAACAGGTCTAAATCTGTATTTTGACGCACGATCATCATTTGAAGCTGAAGTGTTTCCTACTTCATCATTTGCCGTTCTTTTCACTCCTAATTGTGTTGGCTCAACACTTTTGCCTTTACCTTTGATCGTTGATTCATCTGGTACATACACTTTAGGCAAGTCATCACTCTCCATCTTTTCAACACTAGATTTCGCAGTTTCTTCACTAGTTACAATCAATTGACTTTTCTCCGCACTAGATGACTCTTTTGCAGTTGTTAAATCTTTCTCTTCACTAAATGGAGGTCTATTATTACGGTAAAAATCTTCAATTCTCAAGTCAGCTAAAGGTTTAACTGAACTATAGTATTCATTTTGTATTGACGGAGCGTAAGGTTCAGATACAAAATCTTTTGAGAAAAGGCAATGAAGCAAGCGTTTTTGCATCACTGGCTTACAAATTATGCATGTTTTACCACCAATTTCTTGAACTAGATTTTGTCCTAATGCCCTACCATTTGCTGACCAAAACACAATTAAGACGATACATAAATTATCATCACAAATTCTGCGTAGTTCCTTGGCAGCATTTTTAATTTCCTCAGAATTATTTTCACGAACATTGAAAAATACGATATCATATAAAGCTTCGTCTTTATACTGTTCCCTCCATGCTTTTACAGCTGTTATACATTCTTCACATGAGCTAAACGGGTTTACTCTTTCAACGCTACCTTCCACCAATTTAACCAATGTTTGGCGGGACAAGAACGAGTAATCTACGATCAAAACGCGTTTAGAACGTCCAGATGAATGGATCATATCTGAAGATGTTGATATAGGAACGGCGGATAGTGATAATCGCTCAATATTCCAAGTGAACCAAAATCGACTTCCTTTCTTCACTTCACTTTCCACTCCTATTTCACCTCCATTTATTGTCACTAAGTGTTTGCAAATTGAAAGACCAAGACCTGTACCGTCTTGACGTCTTGTCATGGATTGATCACCTTGTGAAAAGCTTTCCCAAATACTTTTAATAAATGCCGGATCAATTCTGATTTAAAATTAATAAAATATTATTATATAAATTAAAATGTTAAAAAATATACCGGTATAAGTAACTATAAAAAAGTTATGAATAAATAAATACCCAATTCCAGAATCAATTACTTCCACACATAATTTTCCTTTTTTGACATTTTCATCACTTGTACTACTTTCTCCATCAAGTTCATCTAATGAGACTTTAAGAACAACCTCACCAGTGTCAGTGAATTTTAACCTATAATATGAAAAAAGGTTATTATTATTTTTTTTTTTTACTGGTAAAAGCGGAGGATGAAACAAAAAAAAAACTTACGAATTAGATAACAAGTTTATCAGCACTTGTTGCAACCTATAAAAAAAAATATATATATACGTATAAATATATAAATATAAATATATTTATAATCTTTGTTTTTAGATTAATTAATTACCTTTCAGGATCCGACTTTACATATTTAGGTAACGAATCAGGATCACAACACAAGATCAATTCAATTTGCTTATTACCCGCATTTTCACCAAATAACTCAATAGTTTTTTCCATAAAATCAAATAAGTCAAATGTCCTATTCACTAATGTTATTTTTTGCGCTTCAAGTTTCGCTGCATCAAGAATATCATTCACGACTGATAATACAACATCTGAAGCTCTAGTCATGATGTGAACCATGTCTTTTTGATCTTCGGTTAATGGAGTATCTTCGAATGCCGATAGGACACCAATGATAGCTCCAAGCGGAGTTCGCAACTCTTTTTTTAAAAAAAAAGAAATTATATTAGAATAATATGATTACATTAGAGAGATTTTAAATAAGTGTTTGTATAAAATAAAATACCATGAGAAGTATTAGCCAAAATTCGGCTTTTAGCTTCATTAGCAGCTTTAGCAGCTTCTATCTGTGCTTCTCGTTTCAACTTTTCTTCCATTAATTTCGCATGAGTGATTGCCAAACTAATTTGGTTTGTTATTTGTTGTAAAAAGGTCTTTTCAGAATTCATCCATTGTGTATTGGGAGGTCGATTTGCTACCAACCATCCCCAAGTAATTGAATTTTCTCTAATTGGAATTGAAATTAATGAAACAGGTTTATTTGCTACTACTGAACTAAAATTCAAAAGCACGGTAACGTCTGTTTCTCGACTATAATCCAATGAATCTTTAATTATATGTTCTAAAAGTGGCTTAATACTCTCACTACTTGCCGCGGCAGCAGCTTCAGCTTCAGCTTGAATATCACCTCCATATGTGTATTGGAATTTTAAACCTTTCATATTTTGTTCATTTGGATCTGCTGCTGCATAAGCCATAATTTCATGATTCGCAAAGGTTTGATTCTCAGATGCGAGTATGAATACTCTGTCGGATGGTAAAATTCGAAGAATTTCTTCAACAGCTGTTGTTAATGTTTTATCTAGACTTAGACCTGAACGAATTTTATTACTAATTGAAAATAATAATTGTTTCGTTTCAGATTGTCGACGTTGTTGTAGCAAAAGTTGTTGACGAAGGTATGAGAGTCTAATATTCACGCGAACACGTGCAATTAGATCTCTAGCGCTAAATGGTTTCGTTAAGTAGTCATCAGCGCCTTTTTCTAGCCCTATTAAAGTAATAAATTAAATTAGATATTAATAATAATATAAACGTGAAGAATAAGTTTTGAATTATATATATATATATATATATACCTTGAATGCTAGCTTCTTCACCGGCTTTTGCTGATAATAAAATTACAGGAATCAATTGCAATACAGGATCAGATCTTATAGCACTCAACAATTGATAACCATTCATATTTGGCATCATTATATCTAAAAATTAATAAGTTTTATTTAGTAAAAACAATCACCATAAATTTTATGTGTTTTAAAAAATTTTGCAATATATTTATATTATAATTACCACTTAATACCAAGTCTGGTAGTGTTGGATTCATTTTTAATGTTCTCAGAGCGTCACGTCCATCACAAGCACAGTAAATGTCAAATTCCTTTTTCAACAAACCGGACAAATAATTTCTATTAAAAATTAAAATAATTAAAAAAATATTTAGAATTAACTAAACTAAAATTAGCATATATATATAATTTTTGTTTTTAGACAATAAATACCTCATATCTGTATTATCATCAACAATAAGTACACGATATTTTTTGGATTCATTAAAGCCAACAGAAACATCATCAAATGGAAACTGATATTTTTTAGTCTTTTCATCGTCAATACTACTCATTGACATTCTTTTTCCTAAATCAGCTTCAAAATCGTCATCAATATCCATAGCATCTTTGTCACCTTCACCTTGCATCACAACATCAGGATCATTATCATCATAATCAGGTCTTTGTTTAGTTTGAATCCATTGATGAGATTCTTCAAGGTACAATTCTCGGCTATTAAATAATTGAGCATCATGAGATAAAGCAGCTTTATCATCATCATCACTGGGAAAATGTACTTGTTTTGGAGGTAAATGTTCACATCCAGTAGGTATACATATTCTAAAAGTAGTTCCTTTTTTTACTTCAGATATTACCGAGATATCGCCACCATGGCGGTTCACTAATTCTTTTACTAAAGCTAAACCAATACCAGTACCTTCGTGACTTCGAGATTGGCTAGATTCAACTCGGTGGAAACGTTGAAATAAATTTGGGATATGATCCTTTGGAATTCCAACACCTAAATTTATTAATGTATTATTATTATATTCAACTTGGTATGTATAAATAATAATAGTCATTAGAAATACCTGTATCAGATATTTCAAGAATGATAACTTCCTGATCATCTTTATGACTTGAATACAGACGAACTGTGACATTTCCTGTCCAAGTATGCTTGAACGCATTGGAACCTTAATATAATACAACAAAATTAGCAATGCTAAGTTCAACAAAAAAAATGTATAATACAATAATAATAATAACTATATAATTGTTATTATTATTAGCTATTACCAATACTTACATAAGTTAAAAACGATCTTTTCATACATATCATGATCGACAAAAACTTCACGTTCCAATTTCTCATCAAATTCCTTTTGACTAGGAATATCAATGATATAATCCAATTGTAAAGATCTTGCCATACTCTCAAAACATGATGCTAATTCGAGTGTAATTTTTGCTATGTCCGTTTTTTGGAAACGAGCTTCTAGTCGACCAGCTTCCATTCTTGAAAACTTTAATATTAAAATTTAATGGTTGAGGTAATTAGTCTCAAATGTAGAGTTTTTCACATAGTAGATCGTCAAATTAATTAAACGAACCTGTAATAAAGTGTTTACAAGCTTAAGTAGTCGACGAGCGTTACGATTAATCAATTGAAGGTTAGGAAGAATTGGTGAATCAGGAGGACACATGGAAATTGCCTCTTCAAGAGGTGAGAGCATAAGAGTAAGGGGTGCTACATAAATTTAAAATATTTATATATATTAATAATTATTATTCATATATATTAATAATTATTATTCATAATCCAATAATTCCAGTATTAAAATTTTCTTTTAAGGCAATATTACTAACTTCGAAACTCATGACTAATATTTTGGAAAAAGTTAATCTTTTGACGATTCAAGTCGGCCAACATTTCTGCTTGTTTTCTTTCTTCTTCACGTGATTTACCATGTGTCATACTTGAACTTACGTGTCCTACCACCAGCTATTAAGAATAACCCGATTAATACGAGATAACGCGAAAAAGATTTTAATAATAATAATAATAATCTTCATATATGTATTACCTGTAGGAATCCCATGTATTCACGATCAAGAGCTCTTCTTGGATTAATTCCACATATCATAACAGAAGTTAAAACATTCTTTCCTGTAGAAGTAGCCACTGGTAACAAAATTGCCTTAGAACCATTACTTAAGGTGATAATTTCATGCTCTCCTGTACGTACAACTTGTTGTAGATAAAATGAAATGTCATGAATAGAGGTTGCCTGGACATTACTAGAAATACTTAATTCCAAATTATTATCATTATTATGATTATTATTATTATCAATGGTAATAGTTATGTTATCCTGTATATCAGATAGGAAATCTGGTAATGTTCTTTTAGATAGACCCTTTGTAAACAGAAATTCATCAACACCATCAGCACCTTTAATAATTTCAAGACCTTCATCATAAGTTGTAGAAATAAGACGAGCTATTCGAGATTTATTATTTGATTCATCAGATTCAATTAAATAGATAATGGCAAATGGTATATCTTCATTGTTATCTCGTAACGTTGTAGCTACCATATGGCATGAACTTTCGATAGTTTTAGCACCTTTCAGAAAAGGAAAGTGAAAGTGATTAGTGATATATAATAAAATATAATAAAATATATATATATAATAAAATATAATAAAAATATATATTATAAATTAAAAATATATATAGATATAATAAATTAAAAAGTATATATATATAAGAAATTAAATACCTGGGGTACGATTGCCCAATTCACCAAGGGTTTTTAATCTCCTTGTGGCCAATATTCTTTGAGTGGTCTCCTGTACGGCATTAAAGACTCCATTAACGGAGCCATCAGCTTCAAATATTGGACTTAAGGTGTATGAAAAATAGCATTCTTCAACGTAACCTTCTCGGTGCATTAACATAAGGTTGTCATCTCTGAATAAACCTTGGCCAGTGGTCATTACTCTAAATTAAATTACCAAAATTAAATAAAAATTAATATTATAAGATCGAAGTAATTGATATCATAAAATTAAATTAATTGATATCATAAAATTTAATTAATTGGTGTCATAAAGTTATAGATGACTATTTAATTACATACTCCTGGAATTTCGGTCCGAGATCTTCATCATAACTTTCAGACCAAGCTTCTCTTGCTGGAAGACCCATCGCTATAAAAAAACAATGTTTTTCTTTGTT